CTCACAGTTGAAGTGTACCTATGATAAAAATTACAGACCTCTACATGCTTTGTAAGTAGGAAAACCTGCAAAATCGGCAGTGTATCAAATACTTGTTCTCCCCACTGTATATCCAGTGGAAACAGCTGTCTGTCCTGAGCTCACTGGCGGGGAAACTTGGCCTATAGTCTATCTCTGAGTTCTATTCGCTCATTTCTTTAGCCGCTAATGGACCACAGCGTATCATTGTGTGTCCATATGGCAGAGGCTTATCATTTTACTTCAGATTTGTATGATTAACCACGTTATTATTGAAATGAAACTGTTCCACGAAAATGTGCATATAAATATAATCATAACTGTCACGCAGATCGGTAGAAATTGTAGAATAAATTGTAAACTTCCCCAAATTTGAAACTCACAAGCTGCCTATGGTCTTTCCTATAACACCCATTAAAATAAATAGTGAACGGGCAAGCGCATGGACACATTGGAGGTCCCGTGAAAAAACATGCCCGCCTATGGATATCAAAGGCCAATCCAACTAATTCGTTCTGGTGCTGGCCCTGGACCATCCTACTCAGTGAATTTAATAAAAATAGTCAAGCATTAAAAACGTTATCCTTTTTAGACATAACTATACTAAATATTTTCTTATTATAAACAAAACCTAGGAGGCTCACGGTTCTCAACCCTTCCATAGACTTGCACAGTAATTATGATGACTTACCAACCTATCAGAGCTCTTGGAGTATGAACTGACATGTTATCCATCAAATCAAAGGTCAGCGAATGGATTTAGTAGTAAAAGCATAAGCTACTGCTAGCTAGCACTGCAGTGCATAACATGTGGTGAGTAGTTGACTCAAAGAGAGAGAAAGACAATAGTTTAACAGTTTAGAATAAATACAATTCTTCAAAGAATGAAGGAGAAGCAGCAAAGAGAGAGAGAGAGAGAGAGAGAGAGAGAGAGAGAGAGAGAGAGAGAGAGAGAGAGAGAGAGAGAGATAGAGAGAGAGAGAGAGAGCTGTATTATTATTATTTATTATTACTTTCTTAGAGGAATGCTATTTATGTTAGCTAGCTGGCTAAGGCTATTCAACACTGCAACTCTCCCAAGTCAAGGTAAGCTTTTATGAATGTATTGTCACTGGGGCCCGCTGGTGTAACTGCTTGCTGTACTGTACTGCGTAATTATACACATGGATTGGATTGAGGATTTACTAACGTGTTAGTTCTAGTTTGTTGATTATGACGTTAATTTGGTGACAACAATGTAGGCTATGTAGTGGTTAGGGGTTATGGTATGAAGGTTTGGCTTGGAGAGGTTTTTTCGCCTGGTCACAGACAGCTGTTGTGTTGTGCTCTGAAGTCCACAAGCGAAGGGAAAAGGTGAGAGAATTAGAGTGCTTAGATGCGATGTGGCTGCTATGAAAGTGAACTGTGTGTGTGGGTGATGAGGGTTGTAGTCATTCCGCCGATTCTGTTGCAAAACATTTCTCAAACGCAAATCAATATGGGAGTATCAAACATCCAAAACCCAGTGGGCATGTCATTTGCAACATTTGTCATTTTGATATGTCTATGGCTACATAAATGATGCACAACTAGCTGCAACCTGTCAAGTCATAAATCATTGGTTCAATACAATTACTGGTAGGCCTCAATTTAGACAATTAAGATATAACAAAGTAGCTTTACAAATGTGTAGCCTTACCCCCACAAAGAAGAAGCCTATATAGACAGTGAGTGCTGGGCAAACTATTGGAGTTCTTGATATATACTGTATATAATAGAGTAATCTGTTGTCATAATGTAGTTATCTTTGTCCTGTGTAAGAAAAACCACAATTAATTCTTCAGTTGCTAGAAAATGAATACTTTTGAATATATGTTTAGCCTATTATCTGTGTTTGTGTACGACTATCTAACATTGTCCAGGTATGGACATTTTTAAACTTGGGATTGGTAGGGTATGTGTTCCTTGCAATTAATGTACACTGCTCAAAAAAATAAAGGGAACACTAAAATAACACATCCTAGATCTGAATGAATGAAATAATCGTATTAAATACTATTTTCTTTACATAGATGAATGTGCTGACAACAAAATCACACAAAAATTATCAATGGAAATCAAATTTATCAACCCATGGATGTCAGGATTTGGAGTCACCCTCAAAATTTAAGTGGAAAACCACACTACAGGCTGATCCAACTTTGATGTAATGTCCTTAAAACAAGTCAAAATGAGGCTCAGTAGTGTGTGTGGCCTCCACGTGCCTGTATGACCTCCCTACAACGCCTGGGCATGCTCCTGATGAGGTGGCGGATGGTCTCCTGAGGGATCTCCTCCCAGACCTGGACTAAAGCATCCGCCAACTCCTGGACAGTCTGTGGTGCAACGTGGCGTTGGTGGATGGAGCGAGACATGATGTCCCAGATGTGCTCAATTGGATTCAGGTCTGGGGAACGGGCGGGCCAGTCCATAGCATCAATGCCTTCCTCTTGCAGGAACTGCTGACACACTCCAGCCACATGAGGTCTAGCATTGTCTTGCATTAGGAGGAACCCAGGGCCAACCGCACCAGCATATGGTCTCACAAGGGGTCTGAGGATCTCATCTCGGTACCTAATGGCAGTCAGGCTACCTCTGGCGAGCACATGGAGGGCTGTGCGGCCCCCCAAAGAAATGCCACCCCACACCATGACTGACCCACCACCAAACCGGTCATGCTGGAGGATGTTGCAGGCAGCAGAACGTTCTCCACGGCGTTTCCAGACTCTGTCATGTCTGTCACATGTGCTCAGTGTGAACCTGCTTTCATCTGTGAAGAGCACAGGGCGCCAGTGGCGAATTTGCCAATCTTGGTGTTCTCTAGAAAATGCCTAACGTCCTGCACGGTGTTGGGCTGTAAGCACAACCCCCACCTGTGGACGTCGGGCCCTCATACCACCCTCATGGAGTCTGTTTCTGACCGTTTGAGCAGACACATGCACATTTGTGGCCTGCTGGAGGTCATTTTGCAGGGCTCTGGCAGTGCTCCTCCTGCTCCTCCTTGCACAAAGGCGGAGGTAGCAGTCCTTCTGCTGAGTTGTTTCCCTCCTACGGCCTCCTCCACGTCTCCTGTTGTACTGGCCTGTCTCCTGGTAGTGCCTCCATGCTCTGGACACTACGCTGACAGACACAGCAAACCTTCTTGCCACAGCTCGCATTGATGTACCATCCTGGATGAGCTGCACTACCTGAGTCACTTGTGTGGGTTGTAGACTCTATCTCATGCTACCACTTGAGTGAAAGCACCGCCAGCATTCAAAAGTGACCAAAACATCAGCCAGGAAGCATAGGAACTGAGAAGTGGTCTGTGGTCACCACCTGTAAAACCAGTCCTTTATTGGGGGTGTCTTGCTAATTGCCTATAATTTCCACCTGTTGTCTATTCCATTTGCACAACAGCATGTGACATGTATTGTCAATCAGTGTTGCTTCCTAAGTGGACAGTTTGATTTCACAGAAGTGTGATTGACTTGGAGTTACATTGTGTTGTTTAAGTGTTCCCTTTATTTTTTTGAGCAGTGTATGATGTCTGGCTGACTCCTTGTGGACAATGAGAGATATGACCTCTCCCTCTCGCCCTCTCTCTGTCTCTCTCTCTGTCTCTGTCTCTGTCTCTCTCTCTCTCTCTCTCTCTCTCTCTCTCTCTCTCTCTCTCTCTCTCCCTCTCTCTCTCTCTCTCTCTCTCTTTCTCTCTCTCTCTCTCTCTCTCTCTCTCTCTCTCTCTCTCTCTCTCTCTCTATATATATATATATATATATATATTGCGGCACAGCTTGTCTCCATAGCAATAGGAGGAGTTTGAGGTGGGTCGCTGTCCATGGTGCTGAACTGTAAGAGCTTTCATTGAGGAAAATGCTGCCGATAGAAAGAGGAATGTAGTGTGTGTGTGTGTGTGTGTGTGTGTGAAGGCACACACGTACGTGCTCATGTGCACATCAGCATATAGGTGTGTATGTCAGTGCACATGCATATGTATGAGAGAGAGGGACTGAGAATGGTGGGAGATAGAGGAAGGGAAAGACTCCGAGACAGAGAGAGGGAGAGCAAGAGAGCAGAGGTTTGTGGGGGTTGGTACTACAGATAGATGGTGCTGACTGTTGTAACTGGAGCACTCTGCAGGGGCTTGAATATGATTACTGTAATACTGGAGTGTCAAGCAATAGCTAGTATGAGTTGAAGATTACTTCATTATCAGTGCCCAAGATGACATACAGTATGGTGATAATGAAGTGGCATTCACCCTAGCCAAACATAGAGATTGTGTCATGATCTCTGAAATATTTTGTGCAAAGACAATCACACTGCAGAAACATTAAATTAGATAGAGAGCGAGCGAGAGGGACAGAACAGCCAGAAGGAGAGAAGGAATGATGGAGACAAAATAGAAAGCAGGGTGTTCATGATAATCTCCCCTCCTCCGTAATCACAGGAAGGTGGTGCGGTTGTCACGGCAACCGTTTCCTAGGTGCCGGGTGGTTTCTGGCAACCAGGCCAATCCCATCAATCATTTGCAGCGGACTGCAGGGTAGAGGCTCTGTCTCTGTGCTGTCATATTGGAGATCATCCATCAGTGTTTCACTGTGCAGTGTGGGCAGTCTTTAAGATAAGAAGAAAATCACCAGGAGAAAGCTGTGTTTCTACCTTTTACTTCCTTCATATTAACCTCTCCCTCAGTTTAATACTCAATCTCCCTGATTTGGCACGGAGCACTGGAGTGAGAAACTGGGTCATCATCATTGTCTGGCGATTTAAGTATCCTATCAACACCGATAACTTCAATTATGGCCTTCGGAAAGACAATGGACCCACAGAAGCACAGATCTTAAAGCTTTATTGACATCTGCATCTACAAGCAGGACATTTAAGCAACAGAAACAACATCCAAACTGTTTTTGAATAAAAAATGTAAGCAAGGCCATTCTCTCCCACTCACTTTTTAACTCTCAACCCCCCCCCCCCCCCCAGTCAGACCATATAATCATAATGCAGGAATAAGCAGTGTAGCTACACAACAGAGACAGACACATCTGCATGATACTAAAGCAAGCAGCACAGACACCCTCCTGTACCATCAAGCCAAGTGCAGAGATTACATCAGATATAAAAAGTATATTGTATTTTTAAAAAAGTACAAAGTAGATACGCCGATACAGGTTTTAAACCCCTCCATTGGTTTCCACCGAACATCTGTTCTGTCAAAGTAGAGCTTAAAATCTCAGGTCACATCACCCAGCCACCCAGCCACTGGCTGCTTAGGAGATTTTCTCAAAATGCCTGGGATCTAAATGAATCCAGATGGTATTTTATGCCTTGACTTGAATCTGGATTAAGCACCATTATCTCATTCTCCTCAAGTCACATGTACTGGTATAACGCAGGAGACCCATAAAGAGCTCATGAGCTGAATTTAGTCTAATGTTTTCTGTAACCTAAATTTGGAATAAACTTGTCTTCATACAAGGCTCAGGCAGCATATCCTCCCCACAGGCAGAGCAGGCAGAGCCCAAATCATTAGTGTAGTAGCCAGACATCTGTGTCCAACACCATCAGCCCTCAGACCCACACAGTGACATGACCTCACATTGTGAGGGGAGGTGAGGTCATGATTCACACAGGGCTTTAAATGGGAAGAGAGAGATAAAGACAGAATTGGAGAGTTGATTAGAACTTCAAACTATGACTGCACTGCAGTCTGTGGTAGATGAGTGGTGTAACCAGGTCTGGATTCAGTGGAAATCACTGTGAATAAGAATAGCTTATTGTGTTCCCATGAAACCTATATGATTGAGATATATACAGTAGTATTTAAGTTCAGTATTTCATTTCAAATGAAGACTGGATGGATTGTGAGTGCAGGGCCTATAAGGTCATGCATGCACTGACGTCAAAGGAATAGCATAGTAGCATAATCTTTCTGTCTCACTCTCGTCTACAGTTTCTTTCTCCTTATCTCTCTCTCTCTCCTTCTTTTGGCCTTTTCCCTCCATTGTGACATGTATATACTGCTGTCTGTTCTAGTTTCTCATTTCTAAGACCTAATGCCTTGCATTAAATCTCTGCAGAAGAGCTACTCTGTATGTCTATAAATTTAAAATAACATTTTGGCTAAATTCTTAAGCAGCGGAGCGCTACATTCATATTTCATGAAATAATTTAGATTGTCTGTCTGTAAACTGTATCAGATAAAACATTTGAATGATGTATTGCAATACAAATGTCATACAGTAGGCTACACAATGCACTTGAATAAGTCACATAAAAAGCAGTGTTAAGAATTGTTAGGTCAAAATATCCAATAAAAACATGACAATTCATAAAACATTGTAAACTTTAAAAACATGGCCAGAGAAGTGTATTGCACCATGCCAACATAAATACATTTCAAATATACAACAATAAATACTTTTTTTAAACAGTCTTATTTTTTTAGTGAATATAGTAACATTTCTTATTTAAAGTACACATGGTTTCTTCCTCTAAGCCTCCTGTTTAACACTGAATTCTCCTTTAGCTGATTCTCTGAGGCTTGTTCACAGTGACAGGGACACTGGGAGTGTGGGATGGAGTAAGTGTTACAGTAATCGGAACCTGACAGAGGCCTGTGCAGTTTAGTTGAGAAAGCTCAGATAGAGGTATGATAAGTTGTTGTAAAGTGAACCCCTTTAGTGCCTCAGATATTCTACATACAGTGTTGGCTACGTTGACCCTTATATTGCCCTGCTTAGGCAGGTAGGAGCTAAATATGTGTTTTTCTTGCTGTCCTGAGTTTTTCCTTGGACATGATTCTCACACTAAAAATGGATTCTAGTCTGTGCTTTATATAGACATGCTGAGCAGGAAATGTTTATCATCAAAATATACTAAATATAGCACCAGTGTCAAATGTGCTCATGAAGATTTGAACCGTGAGAATATATTAAGTGAAGTGGAGTAAGATGGGGTACTTCTCTCCTACCTGACTCATTGAATGATGGGTATGAGGTATTGATCTATCTTGTTACCAACTCAACATGCACCTCCCATAATACCATGTCTCAGGAGATTAATAATCCCATACCATAGGCTGATGTTCAGAGTCAAAAACATAATTCAACACATTCAAGAAAATTCGTAAGGTCTAGAAAGCCAAATGATGAAAAATGTTAATCTTATTTCTAAACAATATTTACTAAAGTTGCACACTACACATTCACAGATGAACAAATATAGTTATTTCACTAGCTAACTGAGTTATGGCATTGGCAAAATGGTTATCTTGTACTCTATTGTTTTTTTTTAGTTTTTGTTTTATTGTGACCTCTCACACATACCCCAATAACGCATTATGACATCACAATGATGAGGAACCCTCACAAGTACACAACAGAATATCCCTTTTGTGTCATGTGTTTCTTGGAGAAGTAAGGTAGGATTTTGGAAGATATTGAGTGCCTGGTCCCACAGTTACAGTCAAAAGTCCCAGGGAGGGTGTTATGCATAATGACATCAGTCCAATGTCGTCTGAAAGACCTTATGTTTGAAGTTCCTTTCTTCTTTATGATATTTTCTAAATATAAGTACCTATTGATGTAGCCATGCAGATTCATGCTTGATGGAAGATGATAAAGGTAGTATACAGTTGCTGAGGTGGTTGGTGTGGTATGTTTGGGCAGAGGGTTCGACGAGCTGCCCCCAGAGGTAAATGTTGGATCCCAGTGATTGAAGGAGGGGTGTTGGTCACTCTTAACTTCTTTGAACGTTCTGCAGCGGAATACCCCAGATTGAGGACATCATGGCAGGTCACTGCTGGCCCTGGAATCCTGCCAATAAATAGAAAATACAGTCAGCCAATAGGAGGCGGAGAGAGGAGGAGATCAGTTTGACTGACAGCCTATAAGGAGTCACAACTCATGCAACTGTTAAGATCTCCAACTGGGGATTGACTGGTTATTTCCACCATCAATCATACATGGGTGGGCATTAGATACTGAGTTGCTTACTTTTGCAGTCATAAACAATTATCATGCCTCTGGATTATGCAGGGAGGTGTGCATGTTGAGTTCCATCGAATTGTCTACATGGGCTATTTGTCAAATCATTATATTTTATTATCCCAACAGGAATTGCGAAATTACAGAATGGCCAAATTGCAGAATGGATCTATCATGTGCATTTAGGTCAGATTAAAAAGCAAGCAAGTAAAATTTGAATAAAACCAAACAAATTACAAAAATAGGGAAACAGAAAGGGAGACGTACCATAGAGACATGCACATCACAGTTTGGAGGACTGGGGGATAGGCAGCCTGGTGTTTCAAATACTTTAGTGCAATTGTGTATGTGTGTGTGTGTTTGTGTGTGTGTGTGTGTGTGTGTGTGTGTGTGTGTGCGTGCGTGCGTGCGTGCAGGGCTAAAGGTACTATGTCTATGGAGCCAACAGGCACTGAGCAGCTCATCATTTCATTATTTCTCCCTGTATTGGGCCAATGATGAGATGTGGCTGCTGGGGAGCAGGGGCAGAGCCAAAGTATGCAGGGATGTGTGTGGGTGTGGCAGAGGGACTGGATGCAGCCACTGCTCTGAAGGTGGTGTGCACTCTGAGCTCAGGACCAGGACAGTGCATATCTTAATCCTCTCCTTTATCTGTGCTAGCTAGCGCTTTACCATGAGTCTCTGCCAAACAAACCACGTATTGTCATTACTGCTCTGACCTGGCAGCCACTTTGGGCCTAATCTCAGCTGTCAGTGATTGGTTTCCCGCTTTAGAGAGATTTCCCAATCTAATCACAGATGCATCACAATGAAGGTCAATGGAAAGAAGAGTGTGCAGTGTGTGTCAGGGGAGGGGGACAGAAAACAAATAGAGAAAGGGATAGAGAAAGAGAGACCAGGAATTCAACCTTCTCTCTCTGCATCCTCTCTGGGAATCAATGTCTGTCTGCTCTTTGCTGACATTTTATAATCCATGCCCCTTTTTACAAAGGAGACTGTACTCTGCCTACACAGATTCAAACCCACATTAGGGGTGATAAAAGTGACAATTCGACCTCCTGTCATTAGAGCAGGACAGGTACACTTGCACAAAAAAACAGTGAGAAACACAATTCTAGATTGAGCTACACCAATCACAGTGCTCCTACATCATGTTACCAGCAACCAGCATACCTCCAGCTGTAGAATGGGCTTCCTTTCATTTTGAGTACTTTAGAATAGAAAAAGAGACAGGTTCAATGGTCAGAGTCCAACACACACACACACACTTTTCCAAAACACAAGCTCCACTAATCCAATCCAAATCTCTTGTTAGTTTTCATGTCATCTCAGTACAATAGAGAGAAGACTGCGTTGTCCCTAAGTCAGAGCTCAAATTAAAACAGTACTTCAGTTAGACAAGGTTTGCCTCTTATTGGGCCTGCAACCTGGAAAATAAAATGCACACAGACAAACATACATCAACACAAAAGTCATTAGAATAAACTAACAATGTCATACAATGTTTAGCATACACTGGCTTTCACATTATACTGTACAGAGCTCACATCAGTTCATTATTTTCACCCAGGTTAGTTTTATTATTATACAAACCTCAGTCCTGGTTTTTGCAATTCAGCTCAGAGAGTTGTAGTGTCTGAGACAACAGCAGACAGACGTTCTTGGAAAGCCATTTTTTGTTATTAAAATTGCATGAACTGCAAGCAAAGAATGAGAGGAAGTGGCAGTAACATGACTTGGGAATTAGCATGGCTCAATGACTTACATAAGCAAACTGAGCTAAACCCCAGTAGCGTGAATGACTGCAGGGCAAATTATATAAGTGAATAAGTGTTTCTGTTATGTCTGCATAACACTTACACAGTAATAGCCTAGCCGTGTTCATACACCACGGGACTTGAACTGAGCTTAAAGGGATACTGTGAGAATCTTGTTCTACTTACCCAGAGTCCGATGAACTTGTGGATACTATGTTTATGTCTGCGTGCAGTATGAAGGAAGTTAGCGGTAGTTTCAGGGGCCAATGCTAACTAGCGGTAGTGCAATTACTGGAAGTCTACAGGTACAGGAGCTACTCGCAGTATCCCTTTAGCAAAACACTAGAAAAGCTGCAGACATCCCATACATAGAGGACATTCCTGCAAAATATTTATTTAACAAACCAAACTCAACCCTGGTCAGATAAGTAGTTATAAATAGTACAGTACTACTGTATCGGTTCATTAACTGGAGTGTAACCTGTCAGAGAAGTAGTTATAAATATTACAATACTACTGTATCGGTTCAATAACTGGAGTGTAACCTGTCCGATAAGTAGTTATAAATAGTACAGTAACCTGTCAGTAAACATAAAAGGCTGAGAGCTGCACTGAGGTGACACAGGGTCTATAGGCTCCTCCTCTCAGAGGAATATGACATTGTAATGTGGGTCCAATGGTCAGTCGGTCTGAAGGATGCGCAGTGGAAACACATAGAAACCTGCAGAGGTGGCTTTGGTCTCAAAAATAATGCAGAGGTGGCTCTGGTTTAAAAAATAATGGGAAAAAACGTTTTTTTTTTTTACAAAACAAGGCCTTTTTGAATATTATTTGAACGCGTCCTTCATTCATGTAATCAGTGACTGCATTATAGGCTCAATGAAAGCAAGGCTACTGCTTTCATCAATCCAACCTTGTCAGGTGTGTGATTACATGAAGGAAGGAAGAGTGTGCATTTCATATAAGGAAGTATATGTCACAGGAAAACTGCTCTGGGCCTCCATCTCAGAGGCGCACATACCTGTAGCGTGGATGCTCTTGAGTCGCTGGTCTCTGTAGGACCTGTGCTTCTGGGTATACTGGACACAAAGTAGCCTGCTCCCTTGGGTACTATAGGCTGTCTGACAACCACCTTGCCTTTCCTGGTCTCTGCTAGAAACAGGCTGTACCAGTAGGCATCACTGGAGATGAGGGTGGAATCGGCTATGGTGGAGCTCCTCTGGCTGATGATACTGTTTCTGCTGATCACACTGTTCCTGTTCAGACTGTTCAGATTCATATTCATAGCAGGAGGCATCTTCATGGGCTTCGGTTTCTGACACTTCAGCACGATGACCACCAATATGGTGATCAATAGCAGAAAGGACACTGAGCCCAAGCCAATGACCAAATACAGATTTAAGTCGGTGAACAAGTCATATTCCAAAGGCACCTCAGTAGTTTCTGAGAATGGTGTCACCATGTGTTCTACTGTTGATATCTTGATGGTAACTGTAGAGGAAAGAGCTGGGTCTCCATTGTCTTTGGCGACAATAACCAGCCTCTGATGACGGGGGTCCCGATAGCTGAACATTCTGGTGGTACGGATCTCCCCATTGTACTGATCTAGACTGAAGAGGGTAGAGTCACTGATCTGTAGAAGCTGATATGTGACCCGTGAATTCTGTAATGAGTCTGCGTCAATGGCGATTACTTTGGCGACTAGGAATCCTTTATCAGTGGACCTCGGTATCACCTCTTCAATAACTGAGCCCTGCGCGCGCCAAGGTGACACTATGAGCGGGGTGTTGTCATTCTGGTCCAGAATGATGATGTGAACTGTCACATTGCTGTTCAGTGGAGGAACCCCAGAGTCTCTGGCCTCTATATGGAAAAGGAACTCCCTCTCCCTCTCAAAGTCAAAGGTCTTCAGAGCGTAAAGGTTGCCATTCTCTGGATTAATGGAGAAAAGCATGGACATAGATGTGTTGATGATCTCCTTCTCCATGATAAAATAGACCAGATACTGGTTCTCATGGAGGTCCGGGTCAAAAGCACTGAGTGACGTCAACAGTGCGCCGGGGACATTGTTCTCCACAACATGGATTGTGTAGAACGACTGGGGGAATATTGGCGAGTTATCGTTGACATCCAATATCTCCAAGGTGATTGTCTCATTGTCAGATAAGCGAGGTGTTCCTTTGTCTGTGACTATGAAAGTGATTTCATATCTTGGAATTCTCTCACGGTCCAGTGGTTCTGAAACATGCAGAGCAAAGTAATCCTCCGAAGACTTATTAAGAAAGAAGGGTAGGGATGTTTGTTGGTTCAAAGTGAGCTCAACTTCACCGTTGTCCCCAGAGTCCCTGTCACTTATACTGATCACTGCTATTAATGTTCCTATGGCAACATCTTCCTTGACCGTGCTTTTAAAAGATGTAATGGTAACCTCGGGATAGTTGTCATTCAGATCGGTAATAAATACCATTATTTTACAATCTCCGGATAATGAATTAGATCCTTGGTCTCTGGCTTGAATATATATATCGAAACTGTGGCTCTCCTCAAAATCAATCACATCCTTCACCTTTATTTCCCCTGTATTTGAATTTAGAGAGAACTTTTCTTGTGTCTTCTCGGATGTATATAACGTGTATGAATATATCATCTCTGCGTTGGTGCCCTCGTCCAAGTCTGTTGCGTTCAAGGTCATTACTAGAGTTCCAATTGGGGAGTTCTCAGTTACATTAATAGCATATATCGGCTGGTTAAAAAAGGGGGCGTTGTCATTGATATCCAGAACCCTAACGATGATACTGGCTGTGCCTGAGCGTGCAGGGACCCCGCCATCTACAGCGGTTAGTATTAAATTATGAACCGTCTGTTCCTCTCGGTCTAAATTACTGTTGAGAACTAAATCTACGTATTTAGAGCCATCGCTTCCCATCTGTATGTCAATTGTAAAATACTTGCTTTCGCTTAAATAGTAAGTCTTAATAGAATTCGCACCGACATCTGCATCCACAGCATTTGTCAAAGAGAATCTCTCTCCTGCAGCGGTAGATTCTGAAATATCCAAGTGCATTGTCTCCCTTCGAAAGACAGGTGCATTGTCATTTATGTCCATGATTTCAAGCTCAATGTTAAAAATACGAATGGGATTTTCAAATATGACATCCATTTTCAGAAAACAAGACGTTGTCTTGCTCGAGCATATGTATTCCCTATCTATCTTTTCAAGTATGAACAGGTCTCCCGTTTCTTTGTTAATGTCCAGATATTTCTTACTGTGGATGATGTCAAGCTTTGCCTTGCGTGTTATCAGAGTGCGAAGGTCAAGTCCCAAATCTGTAGCCAGGTTTGCAACAACGGAACCCTCTTGCATTTCCTCGGGAATAGAGTAGCGATTAATGGACAAAGCAATTCCCCACATCGCGTTGAATACAAAGACAACGGTGACGCACCTTGCCCATACAGTTGCAATGGAAAGCGCCATTATTGCAAAAAAATATGATAAATTATGTAAATACTTGAAGCAATCCGTTGAAGCCGAATACCTTTACATCTACGAGCTATTGCCTACGTGAGAAACAATCGGTAGCCTTCTGTTCTGCACCGGGGAATTCATGCCGAGCTTCGACGCGATACAACTGCGGTGCGCTGCTCTCCCAATCGTGATGACGTATGCTTGGTAGTCGTCATTGAAAAGGAACAGCGACATGGTGTGTGCTATGTAAAATGGTTCTACTTGATTATGAATGTTATGGTTTCGAATGTAACGTTAATGCATGTTTACAGACGAAAAGTAATATTTCGAAAGGTTATTGCAATAAGCCCTGGTAAACCATTTCCTATGTGAGGCACTAACGGCTGCCTGTTTAAAAAGTTCGCATATGCACATTGTCTGAGATTCTGTGGTTGCACTCTAATTCTGTGGTTGTTCTCTCTTCTCGGGAAATGTATGAATACCAATTTAATGAAGTACAACAAATCCAACGCAAGTCCTCAATAGTAATTTCAGCCCCACACCGTATGGACAGCGCCACACTACATGCCTTCAAAAAATATTGTTTGGATGACGAGCTCTATAATGACCAGAAGTGTTATTAATATTGAAGTAGATGTCAAGCCAAAGTTGTTTCCACTATTATAGGCTATTGTGTGTCTGTGTGATAAAGGAGCATTAGCACGGTGTCCAATATTGGTCTGTAAAACATGCAAAACAGGTAGGCCTAAAAAAGTATGCACGTGAAAGTAAAGCATTGCAATTATTCTACATACCCTCATATCTTAAAAAGCTGCTATTTGTGATAATCAGCACCTCAAAGCCACAACTCTACCCTGTACACTAGCACACGGTAAATTGCTGCGTGCTGCTTTGGCCGCCCAGAATGGCTCGCTTGTGGGCGTGCTGGCAGAACATTCAGGCTGTCTAGAATATTGCAGCATATAGCAGCAGTTCGGTTGTGCATCAACAATTCAGCATAGAAAATGTGTATGAAGGTCTGGTTATTAAATGGGTAAATAGTTTAATCCATTCTCCATTTCATGAATTTATTCATAGGTACAGTGAGGGAAAAAAGTATTTGATCCCTGCTGATTTTGTACGTTTGCCCACTGACAAAGAAATTATCAGTCTATAATTTTAATGGTAGGTTTATTTGAACAGTGAGAGACAGAATAACATCAAAAAAATCCAGAAAAAAGCATGTCAAAAATGTTATACATTGATTTGCATTTTAATGAGGGAAATAAGTATTTGACCCCCTCTCAATTAGAAAGATTTCTGGCTCCCAGTTGTCTTTTATACAGGTAACGAGCTGAGAATAGGAGCACACTCTTAAAGGGAGTGCTCCTAATCTCAGTTTGTTACTTGTATAAAAGACACCTGTCCACAGAAGCAATCAATCAATCAGATTCCAAAGTCTCCACCATGGCCAATACCAAAGAGCTCTCCAAGGATGTCAGGGACAAGATTGTAGACCTACACAAGGCTGGAATGGGCTACAAGACCATCGCCAAGCAGCTTGGTGAGAAGGTGACAACAGTTGGTGTGATTATTCGCAAATGGAAGAAACACAAAAGAACTGTCAATCTCCCTCGGCCTGGGGCTCCATGCAAGATCTTTCCTCGTGGAGTTGCAATGATCATGAGAACGGTGAGGAATCAGCCCAGAACTACACGGGAGGATCTTGTCAATGATCTCAAGGCAGCTAGGACCATAGTCACCAAGAAAACAATTGGTAACACAATACGCCGTGAAGGACTGAAATCCTGCAGCGCCCGCAAGGTCCCCCTGCTCAAGAAAGCACATATACAGGCCCATCTGAAGTTTGCCAATGAACATCTGAATGATTCAGAGGAGAACTGGGTGAAAGTGTTGTGGTTGAGCTCTTTGGCATCAACTCAACTCGCCGTGTTTGGAGGAGGAGGAATGCTGCCTATGACCTCAAGAACACCATATCCACCGTCAAACATGGAGGTGGAAACATTATGCTTTGGGGGTGTTTTTCTGCTAAGGGGACAGGACAAATTCACCGCATCAAAGGGACTATGGGCAGGGCCGTGTACTGTCAAATCTTGGGTTAGAACCTCCTTCACTCAGCCAGGGCATTGAAAATGAGTCGTGGATGGGTATTCCAGCATGACAATGACCCAAAACACACGGCCAAGGCAACAAAGGAGTGGCTCAAGAAGAAGCACATTAAGGTCCTGGAGTGGCCTAGCCAGTCTCCAGACCTTAATCCCATAGAAAATATGTGGAGGGAGCTGAAGGTTCGAGTTGCCAAACGTCAGGCTCGAAACCTTAATGACTTGGAGAAGATCTGCAAAGAGGAGTGGGACAAAATCCCTCCTGAGATGTGTGCAAACCTGGTGGCCAACTACAAGAAATGTCTGACCTCTGTGATTGCCAAGAAGGGTTCTGCCACCAAGTACTAAGTCATGTTTTGCAGAGGGGTCAAATACTTATTTCCCTCATTAAAATGCAAATCAATTTATAACATTTTTGACATGCGTTTTTCTGGATGTTTTTGTTGTTATTCTGTCTCTCACTGTTCAAATAAACCTACCATTAAAATGATAGACTGATCATGTCTTTGTCAGTGGGCAAACGTACAAAATCAGCAGGGGATCAAATACTTTTCCCCCTCAGTGTACTGTATAGCTAGCTAGCTAAGTTAATTAAATATCACCGCATATTAGCTAGCTATCTTGATGTACTTATCATTGTAAAAAATAAACTCCAAATGCATTTGTAGGTAGGTAGCTAACAGCCATGGAGGAGGGTAAAAGGATAGCAGCTCCAACTGTCAAAGAAGGGAGAGAGTATGCTATTCTGGATAGGGCAGGTACTTTTGTGTAGTTCCAGTCCCTAGAAGTGAGGACAGAGATAATAGTAACATAACATTCAGGCTGTCTAATTTGAGTATAATGAAGTCTGTTTCTTGTGATGTTTTCTGTCCTCAGATACAGAGAGTTGTGAAAGCGGCAGGTAGCTTAGTGGTTAAGAGCGTTGTGCCAGTAACCGAAAGGTTGCTGGTTCTAATCCCCGAGCCAACTAGGTGAAAAATCTGTCGATGTGCCCTTGAGCAAGGCACTTAACCCTAATTGCTCATGTAAGTCGCTCTGGATAAGAGCGTCTGCTAAATGATTAAAATGTAAAATGTAAAGCCTGTCTGCAGATGAAGAGGTCCCAGTGATTCTCAGTCCTGGTCTTGGGGAATCAAAGGGGTGCACATTTTTGTGTTTGCCTTAGCACTACACAGCTCATTCAAATGATTAACGCATCATCAAGCTGCAAGTGTTATTTATGTATTCATTTGTGATGCTATCCTTGATATGATCCTGCTGTTGTCACATGCTACACATGCACGTGTGTGCACATGCATATATCTATCAAATGTTATCATGATTTGTTATAAGATATGTTATACTTTAGTAATCCACAATGACCTGGTGATGTAAAAGTTTAATAATGACATTATCTTCGATATTCCTACAGATACCTTGCAACTGGAGATTCCTTCAATACGATTGCTTACAGTTACAGTGTAGGGCACTGCACGGTTGGGTGACCAGGGCCATCTGGGACTGCTTCCTAGGGGAATTCAGGCATGTGAAGGCTACCTGGTCCTGCATAACTTCATGAGGATGGACACAAGGACCAGGAGGGGATCTGCAGTTCACCTCCGTGTGCCAGAGGAGAGGTCTGCTGCTGTGCAGGATGTTTAAAGGATGGGGGCCAACAATGCAGCACGGGAGGCAATCCGTGTGCAGGAGATCTTCACCTCCTACTTCTTCGAAGACGGTGCTGTTCCCTGGCAACACCATAGACTACACTATGCACAACCAAAGGCTCTTTTTAGAGCCATCCACATTGCAATAAGAGTATTCTTTCACTTACTTAGCTATGTCAACTGCAGTTATTCAATTCCCAGTTTCTCTCCCTTTGATTTCTACCTCTCAGGTGAGGGTGCTGTTTAGGTAAGGGTGATGTCTGTACAAAAACAAAACAGGATCTTTTAAGAGTCACCCATATTGACAAAATGTAGAACAATTAGACACCTTATAACCCACACCTGCACACTCGTGTATCAATCTGATTGATGGATTGTGTTGTGCAGTAAACAGGCTCAGGTGTATAACTATGGCTCCTTCCACCTTCAAAGAATAGGCAAGAGGACCAACCATGGATAATATTAAGACAATTAATTATTTCCATTTACATAGCTATGACATATTGTTTGTCTTCATGTGTCTGGGCATGTTTTTCAGTATAAAGTACTCTGCAGCCACTTAGAGTGGACACAAGGTTAGGCCACACACACATATTCCTGTTGAACACTGTCTTTTTAACTACCTTATTTTCTCAATAGTCTCTCTCCTTCACTTCATCCCTCTCCCCCCTTCTCCCTAAATCCTCTAGGTTATATCAGCTGTGTCGGCGAACC